GCTGGACGCCACCTGGGCCAACAGGGCGTGCAGGGACGTCATCGGCGAGAAGGGCGGCCAGAAGGGGCAGGGCGTCTCTGGCAAAGGAAGGTTCTATATCAGTTAACAGGGGGGCCACCGCCTCAGGGAGGGTCCCTGGATATCCCAGGGGCCCCAGGATCGAACTTCGAAGTTCGAAGTTCGAAGTTCGAAGTTCGAGCTTCGGACTTCGAAGTTCGAAGTTCGAAGCTCGAAATTCGCAGTTCGAAGTTCGAAGTCTCAAGGCTGCGGTCGCGCCCCGACGACGACAACCGGAGGCCGCTGGGGGCGGCAGCGAAGGCGCGCTGGGACCGCTACAACAGCTGGACGGGCCCCAAGGGGAAGGACGCGGCCAAGGGCGACCGCGGCAAGGGCGGCGACGGCAAGGGGCCCAGGCGCTGAAGTGGCCGCGCGGCTGCTGAGCCCCCCGCGCCGCCGCTCACGGCGAAAAGCCTGGCGGCGAAAAGCCTGACGGCGGAAGCCTGCTCGCTCGGGCGCGCCGCTTCTCGGAGCCCGACCTCCCTACGGACGGGGCGGGTGGAGGGGGATGGGCCTGGGGGCCGGAGGGCGGGGGACGGGGGGGGGGCAGAGGAATTGGGAGGGACTTGGGTGGGGGGGGACTTGGCGCGGTCCGAGGGGAGGTTGGGCTCCGCCTGGTTAATTAAGAGGCGGCGAAGGCATTGCAAGCCTTCGCCTCGGCAGGCGCGCAGCGTCGCCTCGCCGCGGAGTGACCTGGCTGTCCGCCGGGCTGCGCGAGAGAGCGAGAACGTCGCCTTCCTCGCGCCCGTTCTGCTCGCCCCTGCTTCCTCTCTCCCTCCCCCCCCCCCTCCTCTCCCCCAGTCCCGCCTTCCTCTCTCCCCCTTCCTGCTTCCTCCCTTCCTTCCCCCGACGGCGACAAGCCAGGCCAGCTCCCCCCTCCCCCCCTCCGTCCTGTCCACCTCCCCCCCCCTGGTTCCGCCCCTCTGTCATCCTCCATCCCGCGTCTGTTGGCGGGGGGCCTCCAAAAAACGACGTTCAGAGTTGAAAGCTCGAAGTTCGAAGTTCGAACTTCGAACTCCGAACTTGCAAGTTCGAACTGCGAAGTTCGAACTTGGAAACTCTTCGGTTCGAGGCCGTCCTGGGGAGTGCGGGCTTCCAATTTCCAACTTTGGAGGCCCCCTCTGCTCTTCCCCGGCCTGCTGGCTTCTCGCCGCAAGGAGAATCGAGCCCGCGTCAGGAGGCGGGGGCGGCGAGGGGCGTCGAGGGGCCTCCGCCCTTGCTGGCTTCTCGCCCTTCGCCTGGGCCCGAAAAGTGGGCTCGAATGGAAAAGAAAAGTGGTTCTCGGCTTCGAAGCAAGTTTTGCCTGGGACAAGGCTCAGCCCGCGGAGACTGCGGAAATTCCCCCCTCCTCCTCCTCCTCCTCCTCCTCCTCCTCCTCCTCCTGTTCGTCGTCGTGCTCGTCGTCGGAGTGGTCTTCTCCCGTCGGCGTCGCCGTCGTCGTGCTCGTGGTCGTGGTCGTCGTCTTCCGTCGTCGTCGTCGTCGTCGTCCGTCGTCGTCTTCGTTGTCGTCCTCGTCGTGGTCGTCGTCGTCGTCGTCCATGCATGGAAGCAGTTGGACGGGGCGTCCGCTCTCCTTCCTCTCCCGCCCCCCAACGACAAATGCGCAATTCCTTCTCCACGCGCGCAGCCACTTCGGCTGGAGCGAGCAATCCGGGGCAGATGTCGGCGACAAGCCTGGTCATCCTGATGGCTTGGGCGCAGTGGACTTTGTGGGATTTCGGCACGAAGCAGATCTGCCACAACTCTATCACGGGAGAGCACAAGGTCGTCTACGGCAACGGAGCCGTCTTCGCGGACGGGCCCTTCGCGGAGTTGATTCCGCACCCCGACGACCAGGACGTGGCCTTGCTCCTGGGGCCTGGTGACGACGAGACGCGCCCCTTGCACACTTTGGACGAGTGTGGCGCACACACGCCCACGCCGCAACAACGAGGAGGTTTCCCAGACTGGAAAACAGCTCGACTTGATACGTCGGCTGGGGAGGAGGGAACCGCGTGGGTCTCAGAGTTGCAGTCCAATTGCGAGACGGTGGCGCTCGAGCTCCCTGGCCCCAAGCCCGTGCGGCTGCTGTTCACGAAGTACGAAGCGCCAGCGCGTGTCGGCGACGAGCCAGTGAGCCTCTGGGTGGATTTCGGGAGATTGGCCGACTATGTCCTCCGCCCTTTTCCGTCTGCGGCGGGCCGCGCTCGCGAAGACTTCGAGCACTTCGGGAATGCGCGCTCATGCTGTACCAAGGCTGGGCTCCACGAAGACCACTTCCGAGACTCAGCCCGCGCCTCGCGCAAGCGAGAGGCCCCCGAGACCGAGGAGGACGATGGCCCAAAGGCGGTCCCCGCGGAACTCGCCGCCGAGGCCCTCTCTGGAGATCACGATTGGCAGGTGAGCGTGAGGGGCGTGATGTTCTGGCTGTGGAACTCCATTTCCAGGGGGTACGTGACCAAGGTCCCCGACAAGAAGCTCCAAGGTGCGCAGGTTGAGCGGGCGAAGACCTTGCTTCACAGGATTCTCGGGTGGCCACTATATCACGGCGACCAGCCTGAGTCGATCGCCGTGCACTCCAGGACGGCTGGCTGCGTGACGGTCTTGCACGAAGGTGTCGTGGACAAGGGCGAGATGACGTCTTCCGAGGCCGAGTCGCGCCAGGGGAGTCGTGCCTGCGTGATGAGGACATCGGGCGGGCGTGCCTCCTGACTACCCTGGAGAGGCTTCAGAGAAGAGCTGGTTCGGACGGGGGGAGGGAAGGGAAGGGCGGGGAGGCCAGACAGAGAGAGGAGGGATGAGATGTGATGCGGAGTTTGGCTGGAGAGCCCCAGCGAGGATCAGCGACCACATGGTGGACGGCGACGCGCGGCTCGTGGACTTGGTGGCCCACTTGGGGGAGCACGTGACAGCCCGAGGAGGACGTGGCAGACTCCGCGGGACAACGATGCTGGAGGTGGTCGATGCGTGGAGGGACGCCCTGTTAGACCACGTGGTGCTTCTGTGGGAGGTCTCAGGGACGGACCAGCGCTGGCGCGACCTGAACCTCCTCGGTCTCGGCGTGCGCAAAGGAGCTGCAGGGCGATCGCGGGAAGTTCTGGCATCGTACCTAGGTGCGTTGAGCGTGGCCAAGCGGAACGCCGTCGGCTCGGGCGTTCGGTCAGCGAGCCAACTCGTGGTTGGCATGGGCGCCGCGCTGGGGCCAGCGGCGCCTGTGCAGTCCGCCCGTGAGCGCAAGCAGAAGAGGTCCAAGATGGACAAGGAGGAGAGGGCGGCGATCAGCCTGAGCAGCCTGCAAGTGTCTGCGAGAACAGCAGACAGACTTGTGCGAATGTTCGATGGCTCGAACTACTACTTCTCCAGCAGGAGCTCTCCACGGGGCCCACGACGAGGCGACGGCGACGGAGCCGACGACGAGAACGACGACGACGGCGACGACGACGACCACGGCGACGACGACGACGACGACGGCGACGACGACGACCACGACGACGACGACCACGACGGCGACGACGAAGACGACGACAACGACGACCGCGACGACGACGACGGCCACGACGACGACAACGACGACGACGACGACGACGACGTCCACGACGACGACGACCACGACGACGACGACGACCGCAGGATCGCAGCAGAGGGCGCAGTGCACTGGAGCGTGGCGCTCGATGGGACGCAAGTCAGCGGCGAGAAGGTCATGGTGGCCACCTTCTGCCTCCCTGAGCGCGACGTGCACTTCTGGGCGCCGCCGATGGCGCCCTCTCGGTGTTGTCCTCCTCCTCCTCCTCCTCCTCCCCCTCCCCGTCGTCGTCCCCCTACCCCATTGCCTCCTCCTCAGCCCCCCATCAGTCTGGGCCTATGACTCCCCCGCGGGTCGCGGGATCAGGGGGGAGACGTAGTCCTCGGCCACCATGCTTCCCCACCGATGCCTTCGGGGAGACCTGGCCCAAAAGCTTCCGACGGCGCCTTCTGGAAAGGACGCCACCGCCCCTCTTCCCCCCCCTGCCCTTGGTCCCTGGGTCTCAAGAACTGGTTGGCGGGGCGGTGCCAGGGGGGCTGACGCCCTGGAGTGCTCAGGGGGCTCGGGGTGCCCCGAGGGGCCCGTGTGACCTGGGACCAGGCCCCCTGTGGACGGGGGCCACGCTTCCCCTTGCCCGCGGAACAGCGTTCCGCGCTCGACAGAACACTGTTCCGGGGCGCGTGTCTGCGAGCAGGAACGGGCCAGTAAAACGTACCCAGGTTTCTGGGCGGCCAACAGGCCAGCAAAACGTACCCATGGGGCATTCTTCCGCTGGGCGGCGAACAAGCCAGTAAAACGCCCCCACCTTGGCCCCCGCCGGCCGATCAGACAGTCACAGGGGTCGTCCCCGGCGTGGGCGGCCAACAGGCCAGTAAAACATACCCACCCTGGCGTGGGCGGCGAAGAGGCCAGTAAAACATACCCACCGTGTCTGGGCGGCCAACAGGCCAGGAAATCGTACCCAGAAAACCAGGTTTCGGGACAGCGATCCGCGAGTCACGGAACACTGTTCCGGGAATCGCGGAACAGGTTCCGCGGCGCGGGAGGGGCCATTTTCTCCTTGTCTGTTTTTTTTTTTTTTTTCTTTAATATCCTCAATTCTTTCCTTTTTTTTTTTTTTTTCTTTTTGTCTTTCTTTTTTTTTTTTTTTTTTCTCCCTTTTTTTGATCTTGTTCGTTCTTTTTTGGTGGTGGACCCGTTTTTCTTTTATTCTCTATTACGCTTGGTTTTATTTTTTTCTCCTTTATTTTTTTTTTTTTTTTTTGCTTTTCTGGGGCGTGGCCCCAGGGGAGCACGCCCTCGCCCGAAGCCCCGCGTGGTTCTGTTTCCAAGGGCAGCGGCCCTGGGGCCCCAGGGGGCGAACCCGTGGGAGGCGGGAGAGGGCATTCATGAATCCCCCGAACGAGTCGTCGGACACCACAGACCCACCAGGTCGGCCGAAGACCCGATGGCATTGCTTGTGTCTGGCGTGTCCAGGACGAGGTGCGGCCCGCGACCGCGTCGTGGGCGCCAAAAGCCATGTCTGCCCCTGAGTCGTCATGGAGACCCCAGGTACTCGACGAAACTGGCGTGGAGCGCGTGCTCACGGACGAGGCCGCCGAGAAGGCTGGCAGGCACATGAGTCAGATGTCGGATGCCTTCTTCGCCGAGCCCGAGGCCCTGAACGATGGCGACCACAGAGACGACGACGATGACGGCGCCGACGACGACGACGACGACCCCGACGATACCGACACCGACGACTACGACGAGGACGCCGACGCCGGCGACGACGACGACGACGAGGACGCCGACGACGGCGGGGGCGGCCGCGGCGACGGCGACGGCGACGACGGCGGCGACGGCAGCGGCGACGGCGTCGTCGGCGGCGGCGGCGGCGACGGCGAGTGCTTGGGCGCGCCGGCTCCGCCCCCTCCCCAAGAGGGCCTCCTGGCAGAGAAGAGGAAGCAGAACGCGAAGCTGCTGCGAAAGCAGCCGCGCGTGGCGTCCAAGAAGTTCGTCCTCCGCGTGGACAGGTTCATCGAGATGTACGCAGACATTGGCCTGGAGCAGTTTCAGAATCTGCCCGCCCTCGAGAAGCTGGGCCTGCTGACGGCAGCGCGGACAGGGCAGGCACTCCCAGGACCGCTGGCCGCACCCCTGCCGGACGACCTGCAGATCCCGTCGCTGGCGATATGTTCTGACCAGGAGCAAGTCCAGATCACCGGTGCCGAATTCACATTCGCCCCACAGCCCCAAGGCCTCGCCTGCACGGGCGTTCGCCTCGCGGACGAGTTCCACCGCTGGCACAACGACCTGTCGATGGCGATAAGCCTGAGCGGCCTGGCCCCTGTCGTCCAGGCAGGCACTCTGGTCTTCAACATCGGGTACGGCCCGTGGCAGAGCCACGCGTTCTTCCACCAGTTGTGCGCGGAGGCAGGGCGCGCGGGGGCGGCCCTGAGCGCAGACTCGCAGCTGGCTCTCCGGTTCTGGCCGCGGCGGAAGGCAGACCTTGAGGACGACGGCGACCAGCCAGACCAGGCGGCAGCGAGGAAGGAATGGTTGCGTGGCCTGCCTCGTGAATTTGACATCATGGGGGCCAAGGTGGCGCCGTCCAAGTGGATGTCCTTCTGTGATGCTGGATTTGAGTGGTCGAAGAAGCTGGCGAGCCGCTCTCTGACCATGGCGTCTCTCTGCATGCACAAAGGGTGGATCGTCGCTTCGGAGGACCTGTTCGCCAGCACGCGCCTCCTCAACGTCGGCGACGGCGTTAAGCCAGCGCCCAAATCAAAGGCTGAGGCTGTGAAGTCCGCGAAGGACAAGTTGGAGCATCTGAAGGCGAAGACGCAGAACACCGTGGTCACTGCTACCCGTCTCCTGTGCGACGACGACGTCGTCGCCGGTTTGCGGCTGGTCCTCCATGCCGCTGAGGCTCAGCATATCGCCTTCGGAAAACTGACGAAAGACTTTACCAGCACCGAGGGCACTCTGAAAGTGTGTCTGGGGTGGGCCCGCCAGGAGTGGTTAGACTTCTTGAAGAAGACACTCAAGTGCATGGACAACTCCGCGGGCCTCAAGCGTTGCGGCTTCATCGTCAACATGACCGCTGCCATGCACCACGGCGCGAAGCCAGCGGAGGGGGCCTTGAAGTACCAGGACGCACTAGCTCACAGACTCGGGATCCTCGTGGAAAAGATTGTCGCCCTGCGGGCAGGGTCCTTGGCAATGCGTTCTTTCTACTACCCTGGAAAACTGGCGGGTCTGCTGTCGACGGAGCAGGACGAGTTCGATTCGTGCATGGCAGAATTTCAAAAGGACGTGCGCGCCTGGTGGGCAGCGCAGGACGCCCTCCCGCCTCCCTCCATCTCTCCTCTGTCACTCCCTTCTCCCTCCTGTCTCCCCCCCCCGTCGCCGCCTTTTCCATCCCTCCCCTCCCTCCATGAGTCCTCCCCCCCCCTCACCCCTCCTCCTGGGTGGGGGGTGGGGGCTCCAAAATGCACGTCGGCAGTTCCGCGTCGAAGATCGATGGTCCAAGGCAGAGTTTCGAATTTCGAACTTCGACGCCTGTGTTCCAGGATGCATGTGCAAAGGTTCAACCTTTGAGCTTTGGGCCCTCCTTTCGCTGAGCCCCGCCTGCAGGCTTCTCGCCGCCTTCGCTCGTATTCGTCGTTGTCGTCGTCGTCCTCCTCGTCGTCGTCGTCGTCGTCGTCTTCGTCGTCTTCGTCGTCATCGTCTTCGTCCTGGTCGTCGTCGTCTTCGGTGTCGCCTTCGTCCTCGTCTTCGTCGTCGTGGTTGCGTTCGTGGCCGTAGTCGTCGTCGTCGTCGTCTTCGTCGTCGTTTTCGTCTTCGTCTTCGTCGTCGTCGTCGTCTTCGACGTCGTCGTCGTCGTCGTCGGTGGCCCAGGAGCACGGGGAGTACCCCAAGGTCGTTTTAGCTGTGGCCCGCTGTCGGTTCCACCAGCCCTTTTACCTGTGGTGCATTGGACTTGCGGCGAAAAGCCAGTTCGGTGCTCTGCCAAGAGCGTTGGAGGAGCTGTTGAAGTCCACTTTCACCGGCTGGTGCCAGACTCGCGTGTGCGAGAAAGCCAACAAGGTGCTGCGCGACCAAGAAACCCTCACGACCAGCAACAAGGCAAGAGAGGGTCAAAGGGAGCGTGCCTTGGGCTCCTGTTCGCCCCTTCTCGGCCTCCCCTTCGTCCGCTTCCGTGCCGGGCGTGTCCCCCGCCTCCCTCCGCGTCGATGCACTTTCCCAATGTGCGACGTCGTCGTGGCTCTGGCCGCCGTTGCCCTGCAGATGGCCCCCCGATGACTATCCCTTCGCGTGCGTTCCAACGGCGTCCAGGGGCACGCAGGTGTCACACATGACAAGTACTCGTGTCCCCCGCAGACGGTGTCGAGCATGGCGCAGTGGGACACCCTGGTCAGGAACGACGTCATCGGGGAATTCGAGCGCGCGGAGGTGGAGGCGTTCACGAAGGTGAACCTGAAGGACGACGCGGAGATGAAGGCATTGTTCCAGGATGCTCAGGCGACAAGCCGCCTGGCGCCAGTTGGGGCAAAACCTCAGGCGAAGGCCCGTGCCCAGGCGCGGAACGCCCTCCTGGAGCAGACGGACAAAATCAGGGACGAGAGCAAGTTCAAAGCATTCAATCCTGCGAGCGAACAGAATTTATGCGCGGAGTTGCAGTTCCTGCGCGTGCTTCACGAGGGCGACCTGTGGGAGAAGGCGAACGACTGCTGGGTGACTGGGTTCCTGCCGCCAGGCGGGCTCGTCCGTATCAAGTCCACCAACGAGACGCTGTTCGTCCTGAAGACGTACTGGTGCTCCGCGTTGTGCTGGCCGGCCGAGCGGGAGGGCGAGGGCGTGCGGCGAAAAGCCAGAGGGTGTGCGTCACTCGTTTGGCGCACCGTCTTCGACGCCGACGACGTGGAGGTATTTCCCGCCCAGTGGAAATCTCCTGTGCGCATGTTCTTGGAGGACAGGGGGCGGGCGCGCGCGTTGAGCCCCTTCCTTCCCCCGACGGCGACAAGCCAGGCCAGCTTTCCCCTCTCCCCGCCCCCGTCCTTTCCACCTCCCCCCCTCCTTGGGTCCGTCCCCCCTGTCCTCCTCCATCCCGCTTCTTTTGACGAAGGGCCTCCAAAAAAACGACGTTCAGAGATGGAAGTTCGAAGTTCGAAGTTCGAACTTCGAACTCGGAAGTTCCAAATTCGAACTTCGAAGTTCGAACTTGGACCTTCTTCGGTTCGAGGCCGTCCTGGGGAGTGCGAGTCTCCAATGTCGAACTTTGGAGGCCCCCCTGCCCTTCCCTGCTGGTTTCTCGCAGCAGGGGGAATCGAGCGTGCGTCAGAAGGCAGGGGCGGCGAGAAGCGGCGAGGAGCCTCCGCCCTTGCTGGCTTCTCGCCGTTCGTTGTCGTCGTCGTCGTCTCCGTCGTTGTCGTCGTCGTCGTCGTCGTCGTTGTCGTCGTCGTCGTCGTCGTCGTCCGTCGTCGTCGTTCGACGTCGTCGTCGTCGTCGTCGTCGCCGCCGCCGCCGCCTCGGCGGCCGCGGCCGCCGCCGCCGCCGCCGTCGTCATCGTCGTCATCGTCGTCGTCGTCGTTCGTCGTCGTCGTCATTCGACGTCGTCGTCGTGGTCGTCGTCGTTGTCGTCGTCGTCGCCGTCGTCGGCGCCGCCGCCGCCGCCGCCGGCGCCGCCGCCGCCGTCGTCGTCGTCGTCGTCGTCGTCGTCGTCGTCGCCGTCGTCGTCGTCGTCGTCATCGTCGTCGTCGTCGTCGTTCGTCGTCGGCATCGTCGCCGCCGCCGCCGCCGTCGCCGCCGCCGCCGCCGCCGGCGCCGCCGCCGCCGCCGCCGCCTCCGCCGCCGACGCCGCCGACGCCGCCGCCGCCGCCGCCGCCGCCGCCGCCGTCGTCGTCGTCGTCGTCCTCGTGGTCGTCGTCCTCGTCGTCGTCGTCGCCGTCGTCGCCGTCGTCGCCGTCGTCGTCTCCGTCCTCGTCGCCGTCGTCGTCGTCGTCGTCGTCGTCGTGGGTGGGCGCCAGAAAGACTCTGAAACTGAAGTCCCCCCAAGAGGGTTCTTGGAGCTCGCGGGTGCCAGCTCTCGTCCCCTGAGGGCTACAAGGGCGCGCAGATCGGCGTGCGGGCAGTCGCGGCTGCTGCGCGGCCGTTGCTCAACGCGCAAGCCGAGTCGGGGTTCCCTGGCGTTGGAGAGGAGTCATTGGAGGCTCTCCTGATTAGCAAGGGGAAGGCGTTGCCAGCAGACGCCTCCGCGGCCGACCACCGCAAGACGGACTTGGTTCTGGCTGCGATTTCGGCGATCAAGCCAGACTTGACCGACAAGGAGGCGTCTGAATGCCTGTGTCGGGGGTTCTTGCAAGAGCTGCCCGACGCGTACGCTGACCTCTACGTCCCGCCCGACATGCTCGGAGAGGTGCTCGTGCCAGGGCAAGCTCAAGCCGTGGAGAAGTACGCCGTGCAGGTGGCGGCGGTGCACGCGGAGAGGGAGCACATCGTGGCCACCCGCGACAAGCGCGTGCAGAAGTACTTCAGGAGGGCCCCCGCACCGGCGTACAGCCAGACGCAGAGAAAAGGCCCGCGGTGGCTGCCCGAGAAGGACGCCAAGAGCACCGAGCAGATCACGAAGTGGATGCTGAAGTGGGTCCCTCGGGGGGGATCCATTGACGTGGACGACTATAATGGCCGTTGGCGTGCGCTGTACCCGCCGACGAACCAATGGAAGTCTGTGTCGTGGACGAAGCGGGGCTACGAGTGCGCAGCCTGCGAGGCGATTTGGTGGACGTGGACGTTCCATTACGATTTCACCAAGGAGGCCGCTCCATTTGACATGGAAGAACTGGCCAAACGCTTCCGCGAGGCGGAGCTTCCGTGAGCGACGAAGCAATGTGTGTATCGATGACAGGCAGCGCTGCAGCACTTTTTGACGTCATCCTGTCTGGCGCTGCTCGTCCGCAGTCTGTTCGGCGTCAAGCCTGTGCTGCGGCCCGCTCAGTTTCACCTGCTAGAGGCGCAAGCTTGTGCTGCCCCCATTTTTCGGCGTCAGCCTGTGCTGCGCCCCAATGTCTGTTGTTTTGCGTATTGGGCGGCGCCGACGCGAGGCAGCAGTGCCGAGGAGTAGGTTCGCGGAAAAACTTCCCCCTCCTACGTCCCCCTTTCCTCTTCCATCCAATTTCTCGTGGCGGGAGGGGGGGGGGGGGCTCCAAAGCGCGACGTTCAGAGTTGGATGGTCGAAGTTCGAAGTTCTAACTTAGACCTCCTGATTTCGAAGGTCGGGCTTCGAAGTTCGAACTTGAAACTTCGTCGGTTGGAGGCCCTCCTGGGCATGGCGAGTTTCGAATATATACCTTTGGAGGCCCCCCCTGCCCTTCCTCAGCCTGCAGGCAGGCTTCTCGCCGCCCTCGCTCGCTCCGTTCCTCTTGCCCTTCCTCCCCTCTCGGTCCGCCGTCTGCCTTCGTGCTCCTCCTTCCGTCTGCGTCACCCCCCTCGCCCCCTCTCCGCCCGCCCGTCTTCCCTGTCGCCCGCCCCCCATCCATCTCGTCTTCGGCAACCGTTAGGCTCAACACAGTGTGTCTGAGAAGCCTTTCGGCGACAAGCCTGCCGCGGCCCCCCGAACTCCGCCCCGGGGCCCCTCGGCGCAGCCATGTCCTCCAGCAGCCGCGCCGAGAAGGCCGCAGACAAGGGGGCCGCGGCCGTCCTCGCGAGCCTCAGCAGGGCGGGCGAGGCGGCCATCGAGCAGACGGTCGAGGACACGGTGAAGATCCTGCGTGCCGACCCTGGCCTGCTGTACCACTTGAACGCGCTCCTCCACAACGAGGAGTGGAAGGCGGTCCTCAGGGCGTCTGCCACCTCCAAGCCTGCCGAGAGCGGCGAGAAGCCCGAGCCGGAGCAGCCACAGGGCAAGAGGCTTCGCGCGGGCTTGAAGAAGTTCGAGCACCTGGACAGGCAGAGGGCGGAGGAATCTTCATGCCCTGATTTGCGCCCGCTCCATCCCCCCCTCCCCCTTCCCCCTCCTGCCGGCTCTCGGCCCTCTTCCTCCTCCCACCCCCCCATCCCCCCCAAGAGTCAGGGGGGGCCCAATTTGCACACGTCGAACTTCGAAATTCGAAGTTCGAAGTTCGAACTTCGAAGGTCCACGTTCGAACCTGGAGCTTTCGAGGCTTTCCTGGTTTGCCCTTCCCTGGCCTCGTGGCTTTTCGCCGCCCTCGCTAGCGCGCTCACAAGAGCATAAACGTCAGTTTCGCCGTCGTCCGTCGTCGTCGTCGTCGTCGCCCTCGTCGTCGTCGTCTTCGTCTTCGTCGTTGGCGTCGTCATCGTCGTCGTCGTCGTCGCCGTCGCTGTCGCCGTCGCCGTCGCCGCCGCCGCCATCGTCGTCGTCGTCGTCGCGCCTCGTCTCTGTCGTCGTCTTGTTTCGCGGCCTTAGTCGCCACCAGACAAGGCAGAACGGTCTTGTCGACTTCTTGCCCCGCAAGATGGAGCCCGAGCGCTTCCCGCAAACGCCGCTCGACGGTTGCTGGTACGAGGCTTTCAAGCTGGGCCTGCTCTACCTGGGGCTCAGGGTCGGTCCAGACACCCCGCTCCCGACGATCACCTACGAGGGCCTGGAGACTTGGGAAGCTTTCGGCACGGCGCTAAGCCAGCACTACACCGCGAAGGGGCGCCCCCTGAGCACCGAGCACACCGACGACGACCTCAAGGACGGCTTTTACAGCGGGGCGAAGGGCGACAGCGAGGACGAGTGGTCGGTCACGTGCCGCCTCGACCACCAGGAGCCGAAGGCGGTCCTCAAGTTCGCCGCCGTGGAGCTTGAGTTTGATGACCCCTTCAACTACAACACGAGCTTGTCGCTCAAGAAAGACGACGGGCGCTCGTACAAGGTCGAAGACCTCCTGGGCGAGTTCGCAGCGAAGGGCGTCGTGGCTCCAGGCCGCTCGCCGGACTGGACGGGCGCCGCCTTCGCGAAGAAGAGGGAGCCGACCACCCCGAAGCAGCCCGCGGACGGCGGCAAGGGCAAGGCCAAGGGCAACAAGCGGCCCTCCCCTTCGCCGCCGTCGGGGGCGGGGGTGTCCGACGCCCTGCGCAAGCGCCTCGCCACGAGGTCGTCGGGTAGTGGCCCGTCGTCGGGGGCTGCTCGCTGAGGTGGGTGCTCAGGCGAAAAGCCGACGACAGTGAGAGTCCTTGTGCGACTTTAAAACGCGCGCGCCCGCTGATGCATGGCCTTTTTGATTGCTGCCGATGCGCGCTGCGTCAGCGCCGCGGCAAGGAAAGCGGCGACAAGCCTGTCCACGTGCATTTTTTTCGCGCTGCGCGTGCGCTGGGCTCCACGACAAACTACAGGCTGTGCTGTACAGCAACTTTACGGTTTCCCCGCATCCCTCTCTGCTCCGAGAGACGACGCTGGCACGTGAAGCGAACGGCTAAGCGCGCCGTTTGGACTGGCCGTGGCTCGGAGGTGAGAGGCCTATGCACCCGCGGCGTTGGCCTGACGCTGTGCGCACGTCGGCGCCTCGTTGTCGACTGCGGCCTGCCGCGCTCCTGGAGCTGAAAAAAGAAACATTACTTTCATGGATGCCGTTCGGCCTCGTTTGAGCCTTCCACCTCCTCCTCCTCCCCCTCCTCTCTCCCTGTTCCTCCCTCCTTCCTTCCCCCGAGCGCGAAAAGCCGGGCCCGCCCTCCCCTCTCCGCCCCCTGCGCGCTCTCCCCCCTTCCCCCCCCCCTCCCCCGCCCCCCTGTCTTCCTCCGCCCCGCTCCTTTTGGCGGGGGGTTTCCAAAAAAGAAGATTCAGAGTTAAAAGTTCGAAGTCCGAAGTTCGAAGTTCGAACTCCGAACTTCGAAATTCGCACTTCGAAATTCGAACTTGGAACCTCGTCGGTTCGAGGCCCTCCTGGGGGGTGCGCGTTTGAAACTTCTACCTTTGGGACCACCCCCTCCTCCCCTTCCGTGTCCCTTCCCCTTCTTGCCACTCCCCCTCCCCCTTCTTGCCCTCCTGCTCGCCCCCGACGTGGACGCGCCGAGGCGCAGAAACAATGCCGACAGCAAGCGCGCCTATGCGTGAGCCCCCTTCATGTGCGGTCGTGGGAACGACTACTGATGCGGATCGGTACAACGTCGTTGTTAAGACGTAGAGGAATAATCTCATCGATTGGTTCGCTTCCCAATGTGTTTGGTGTCAGCCGTTGGTGCATTAAGAAAAAAATGGCCCCTTCGCGCGCGTGTTTGCCCCATTGCGCGTTGGGGTTGCGCGGGTGTCAGAAAACGTCAACAGAAGTGCATTTGTGCTTGCGCAACGTAATCTTTCCGAGTGAAGAACACACGCGTGTTCTAGCGTTTACACATTTGCACGCACGTTGCAAAGAATATGTGCCGCGTGTTTCCGTGGCCCCTGAGGTCATGCCACAGCGTTGAGCGAATAGACAGAGCCCCCCCGAGCGACAGGCGACCGTGCATGAGTAGGTCCATGAAACGGTACGCACAGAATACTGCGCGGGATAGCATTCCAAAAAATGCGGAACACCTTCCCGAACCAGTGGAACCTGGGTACGTTTTAAGGTGGGCATGTTTTCCCGGCCCGTTGCCCCCGCCCAAGACAGGTCGCCAAGCTGAAGTACAGATCGGGGACCGCTGCGTGCAGTGCGAGGAATCGCTCGTGCACTTGGGGTCGACTCTGACTGCTGACGGAAAGATGGCGACCGAACTCAGCCGAAGGATCGGTTTGGCGAGCGCGGAGTTCCGTGCAGTGAGGCAAGTGTGGCGGCGTTCCGTTTTATCTCGCAGATGGAAGCTGCATGTCTTCACCGCGCTCATTGAATCAAAACTACTGTGCGGATTGTCCGCCGGATGCTGTTTGAAAGCTGATTTGCGGAGGCTTGGCGGCTGCCAAGCCAAGTGTCTGAGAGTGATCATGGGCATCTCACCATCCTATATCTCGCGGATCTCGAACGCGGAGGTCCTGCAGAGGGCCGGCGTGCAATCCGCTTCAGACCAGTTCTACAGACGGCAGCTCGTGTACATGGGCAAGATCGCGCGCTCTCCGCCGGAGTCGGCACTGAGAAGGGCGGCTTGCGACAGACGTGCCAGCCACCGACCGCCATGAGAGACGGCGTGGCCGACCAAACAAGGAGTGGATACGCGCAATCATGCCACAGGCTATCCAGCTGACTGGACCATATGTGCGATTGCGTGAGCAAGCGGAGGAGCACGCGTGGAAGCAGCTGGTGTACATGAGTCCACAGCCGTAGAGTTCTCTTTGAACGAGTTGCCACTTCCTTCCGCTGCCTTCCTTCCCCCTTTCCTTGCCTCTCCTCCTTGCCCTCCTCTGTCTTTGCTTTCCTTCGAAGCAACTCGCGTGTGATATTTGATTCAGCATTTTTCAGCGGGCACGCAGACGCGCCGATCTGCATGCTACCGCGCACGTCCATGGGCTGCCCGCAGCCTACGACTCCGACCGACCGACCGACCGGGGAACCCATCGACCCTCGGAGAATGGCCATTTTCGGAGGGTCTGTGGGTTTCCCGTATTTCGGGAGAAGCGGTACAACATGCGCGGACTTGGAACCCGCCCCTCATCCCCTACCCATGCGGTCGGACTGGGGTATAAGATCGAGGTCGGTTCGGGGAGGGTATTTTAGTGTTCGTCGTGTGTCCTGGAGTACGGTCTGGTCGAGTGATCTTATGGTTTGGGTTTTTTCGGCCGGCGGAGGGTCTCATGTTCTTGAAGCATGTTTTTCTGTCCTAGGTCCGACCGTCGTAGCAGTCGTCTGGGTGTGGGCTGTCCACAATTCGAACGTGTGGGAAACCCACACCCAAGCCCATACTTTGAAACCCATACCCGAACACATGCAACAATATAAGAAATCATGGCCAGAGTCCTGGACCCCATCTTTCTGCGTTTTTGTTCGAGCCTGATCGATCCGTGATGGCCCCGTGGCCCGAAACCAGGCGAACACGCCCAGTGTGAAAAAAAATGCAACGCTCAGATCGCAGGGCAGGCCTTCGGAGAGTGACCATTTTCCCAGGGTCTGTGGGTTTCCCATATTGCGAAGGCCCTACAGCCAGCCCGTGGACGACGACGGTGACGACGCCGACGACGACGAAAAACACGCAATACCTTCAAGGAAGTCATTGAGTTTACCTTCCTGGGGTTTTCGTGGGAGTGCTCTTGGGCCTCTTTTGAGGGTCTTTGGCTTTCCCTTTTCTCGAAGGCAACGACGGCGACGACGACGCCGGCGACGACGACGGCGGCGACGGCGGCGACGACGGTGGCGACGACGACGGCGGGGGCGGCGGTGAAGACGACCGAGGCCCTGTGGGTTTCTATATTTCGCAGGCGTTCGCCGCCCCCTAGCAGTCGTCCAAAAGTGGGCGTCCGATGATTCTGAAGTGTGGGAAGCCCTGTAGAGTCGACCTGAAGTCTGAGTCGTCCCAGTTTCGGCAACGCGCAGAGGGGGGAAGGCTTCCTAGAAGCACCCCCGCTTCTTAGAAGGCGTGGGCTTTGTCGACAGATCTAAGGAACAGCCTCGTAAGAAACCCTCCCCCCACCCTCCACCTCCCTCTGCGCGCCGCCAACACCCTCGGACCGAGGTCCGAGATCGAGGTCGGTGTGGGGAGGGTACCCTGCTGCTCTTCGTGTTTGTTGGATGTTCGTGTGCATCCTGGTGGAGGATACCCTCGAGTCTTCCGCAGTTTGGCAGGCGGGGGGGGTCTCGTGTTCCTGAAGGATGTCCTTCTGTCCTGGGTCCGTCCGTAGGTGCCAGCCCTGGACGTTGAAACCAGAAAGCCCTCAGACCTGACGATCCGAGGGTCCGCGGGCCTGCCTTGCCTCGCAGGCCTTCGCCCCCCTCGCCCCCGAGGCCGCCCGCGCAGCGGCGGCGGCGGCCGGCCGCCGAGGAACCTACGGGTCGGGCGTGCAGTACAGCTCGCCGCCCCCGGACTTCGACCGGGGCAACTTCCGAAGCGCGGCCCCCGCCGCGGCGCGGGGCCCCGGCGGGCACCTTTCCGTGTCTGACTCGTTTTGGTTTTGTTTTTTGTTTTTGGTTTTTATTTTTTTTTTTTTTTTTTTCATTTTTTCGTTTTTGTTTTTTTTTTTTTTTTTTAGTTTACGTTTATTTGTTTTTTTTATTTTGTTACTTTTTTTTGTTTGTTTATTTTTTTAGTGTGCCTCTTTCGTTTGTTGGTAGGCTTGATGTTTTTTTGTTTTGTTATTAACTCTTTTTTTCTTGTGTCTTTTTTTTTTTTTTATTTTTTTATTTTTTTTTTTATTTTTTTTTTTCTGTTTTTTTTTTTTTTTTTTTTTTTTATTTTTTTTTTATTTCTTTCTTTTTATTTTTTTTTTTTTTCTTTTTTTTTATTTTTTTTTTTTCTTTTTTTTTGTCTTTTTTGTTGTTTTCTTTTTTTTTTTTTTTTTGTTCTTCTTTTTGCTCATTCGAGCCGTTCGTATCCCGGACTTTTTTGTTGCTCTGTGTCCCAGCGGTGCGCCTGCATCTGGGCCTCTGGGGGCCGCTTTCGGGCCCAGGGGGCAGAAGCGGATCCAGGAACACCTGCCCCAGGGGAGGGGGGGTTATGATGATGATGACGACGACGGTGAAGATGAGGAGGATGAGGAGAAGGATGAGGATGAGGATGAGGAAGAGGAAGAGGAAGAGGAAGAGGATGATGATGATGATGATGATGATGATGATGATGATGATGAGGATGAGGATGATGAGATGATGATGATGATGATGATGATGATGATGATGATGATGATGATGATGATGATGATGATGATGATGATGATGATGATGATGATGATGATGATGATGACAACACTGGCGACAACGATGATGACGATGACGATGCTGATGCTGCTGCTGCTGCGGATGATGATACTGCTGAGGATGATGATGGTGATGATGATGGTGGTGAAGGCGATGGGGATAAGGACGATGATGAGGATGCGGATGAGGGTTCGGATGATGATTATGATGATGTTGATGATGATGAGGAAGATGGAGGTGATGATGAAGCTGATGATGATGTGATGATGATGCTGATTATGATGCCGATTCTGATGATGCTGATGACGATTATGATGCTGATGATTATGTTGATGATGCCGATGACGATGATGATGATGCTGCTGATGATGATGACGACGATGATGATGATGATGATGATGCTGGTGGTGGTGATGACGACGATGACGACGATGACGATGATGTTGACTGTGGTGATGCTGATTATGATTATGCTGATGATGACGATGATAGTGTTTCTGATGCTGCTGCTGATGATTATGCTCATGACGACGATACTGATGATGCTGATGATGATGTTGACTGATGATGATGATGATGATGATGATGATGATAATGATGCTGATGCTTACTATGATGCTGCTACTTATGATGATGATGATGATGATGATGGTGATTATGCTGCTGATGCTGATGATGCGGGTGATGTTGCTGATGATGATGCTGATGATGATGTGGATGATGATGCTGATGATGATGCTGCTGATGATGGTGATGCTGATGATGATCATGATGCTGCTGATGATGATGGTGATGATGCTGATGCTGATGTTGATGCTGATGCTGATGCTGCTGCTGCTGCTGCTGCTGATGATAATGATGATGATGATGATGATGATGATGATGATGATGATGATGATGATGATGATGATGATGATGATGATGATGATGATGATGATGATGATGCTGATGCTGATGATGATGCTGAGAAGGAGTAGGGAGGAGAAGGAAGAGGAGGAGGGGAGGAGGAGGAGGGGAGGAGGGGCGGAGGAGGAGGAGGAGGAGGAGGAGGAGAACGAGGAGAAGAAAAGCAACAGCAGAAAGAGGCATGAGGATGGGGAGGAGGAGGAGGAGGAGGAGGAGTAGGAGGTGGAGAAGGAGAAGAAGGAGGAGGAGGAGGCATGAGGAGGGCGACGGCGAAGGCGTGTCGAAAGAGCGGGCATGTCACCGGACGCTGGGCAAGCCGTGGGGGCTGTGAGGCAGCAGCGGGGAGATGGGCTGAGACGAGTGGGCTGCCTCTCGCTCGCGGAGGTTGTCGCCGACGTCGGTTCGGGTCGTACGTATTTATTGGAGAGAAATCAGCATCGGGATGTGTGTTTTTGAGCGTTTTCGTAGAGTGACCGTTTCGGAGGTTTTCGTCCTATCATGGGGCATCTTCTGCCTCGGGATGCGTTCCAGCAGTTGTGCCTCGCCGTGGGCGTTCCCGGGGTGCCCTGATCGTTCCGAACGGCCGCCTGAAGCCCGAGGTGCGGCCCGAAAGCCACCAACCAGCTTGGTAGCGGGCCGCGCACGAGGGGGGGTGACGCCAGGTGGCAGACCTGGTCCTGAATGCTCTGTGGAACTCCGACGACGGGGCCCTGCCTGAGTCGGTCCATGAACTGCGTGACCTTGGGGAAGAAGGGGTGGGGTGCTCCTGCGCTGGTGCCGCCTGCTCCGCTGCTGCGCGGACTGTGGCCGCCAGCTGGCTCTTCAACTGCGCGAGCTCTTTGACGGCCGCCTGTTTCTCGCTGTCCAGCAAGGTGACCTTGCTTGCCGGGGCCGAGATCGCGGCGACGCGCGCGGTGATCTGGTCGGTGCATTTCTGGACCTTGCCTTGGGCTGAAGCTACCTGACCCCGAAGGGGCTGACATTGCTGCTCGAGAGGTTTCTCGGAGAGGGCTGCAGTCCTCGCCTGTTTGAGAGAGACAACGGCCTTGCCAGAGTTTCCCCCTTCCGACTCCCTCTCTTGCTTCCCAGGAAGCGCATAGGTCCTGGAAGAGATGGGGTAGCTCTGGGGCTCCGACTGGGCTGGGCTGACTGCTGCAGCGGTCTTTGCGGCGGCACGAGAGAACCTTGTCCAACGATTCCTGCTGTGCCCGCCGCCGTGGTTCCGCTGACTTCCGCTTCCGCCGTTGCCGCCTAGCTTCTGGTTGCTTGCTGACTTACCTGGCTTCGGAAAGGTGGACCCGCATTCTGATCAAAACCCGTTGTTCCGATCGAGAGAGGTCCACCCCGAGCACCCTTGGCGAGAGCAGCAGACGCATTGACGATGCCCTCTGGTCGGCACTATGGCCTGA